GCTCCCCAGCCGCTCGCACAGGTTTGTTATGTAACGGACAGGGTCGCCCCGCCCATAGGGCGGGCCTAGGGGCGGTTCCTTGGAAGGTTCCGCCCGCCGCCCTGCCTGCCGGGCGCCCGCGCGCCGGAATTCCTCTGCACCTCATACACCCGCTCCGCCGACCTACGTGAACTCTGCCAGCTGTCCGCGAGCTCGCTCTTGGATCTCCCGGACTCTCTCCTCTCATTCTAGCACCTAAACTGGCCCAGCCCGGAGCCTTTGAGCCTTTGTAACCAGATCTGCCTGAGTCACTCCAGCCCTCATGCGAAATTTTACACCCAGTATTCTCCAATTGTGGCCCCAAATCTCACAATACGTTTTCTCCGCCCTTGGCCCCCAAATCCGTCGCTTCTCTTCGTTTTCCGACCTAGAAATCCCTCATTTCTTTCTTCAGCCTTCCTCGCCCAGCCTAAATTCTATCAGCCTGTTTACTCATCTCTTAAGACTATTCCTCTAAAGTGGTTTATGGATACCAATAAAGATTTGCTTGTGTAGCGTACCTGGCTAGATATTCAACAAATGTTAATTTCCCAAGTCTATACATACACCGGTCGCTAAGTTTTCCAAACTTTTCTGTATCCTGGAGAAAGTTTTCTCCCAACTCCTTGGAAAAGTGGAAATGATTCTCCCTCTAGCACCCCATGCCCCAACAACGAAACACTCCACTTCTTCAATTCACCATACTATTTACCACTAATGCTTTATATTTATGGTCTGTGTAATATTTATAACCCCCACCACTGTATTAATCATATTCTTTATTTTCTGTATCTTATGATGTTTTGACATTCTAAAAATCTTGCTAGCTGGAGAGAGATTGCATTTTCCCAGGGCTAGCTAATTCCTAAAGATACCAAACAATTTATTTGGAGTACAGCTCTCATATGCAAGCCAATTACCCCTTTTATCTAATACTCACACACCTAGTCACTATTTCCCCTGTCCTAAATCAATCATCCCAGGACCACCAGGTACCAGGCAAGAAGAGAACACTCCTATAGCCCAAAGCCCACTATTCATTGTTCACACTAGCGAGTCCCAAGCTGTTTACTGTGCCCTGCCCAGTGCAAACCCTAATAAAGGCTCTGGCCTAAATTTTCCTCCTGCTCTTGCTTCTGTCTTCTGACCCAAATCTGATGCTTCCACTGGGACCCTGCATGACCCCCTTCTTTAGGGAAATGTTAGTAGTAAAAATCTTCCCACGGCATTGACCTTGCCATATCGTCATTCAGTCGCCTCCATAAACGAAAATCCCACAGTACAAATGAGAGATTCAACCAGCAAAAAACAAAACTCAAACAAACAAAACCCTCTGCTTACATCTCTGTACTTCCAAACTATTTCTGCACATATTTAGAGCATTTACTGAATTGGATTCAGGTCAGTTGTTCCCAGTTTGTCTCCCTCACCAGAGTGTAAACTCTCAGTCTTTTTCATCCTTGTAATCCCAGAGCCTAGTGTGGCATTCAACAAGTAGAAAGTTTAAATTCAGGTTGAATGGATGAAGACAGAACTGTCATTTCTGTTTCAAGGGAACCAACCTGTTAATACAGGTAAATGCTTATAAAGACATTTAATCCTAATTCATGTTTGTCTCTATTTCTCACCCAGATGGGCTACTTTACTTGCTTTAAATACTTGTTAAAGACTGCATTTGCTTCTGCTGTCCCGTTGCATTTTCCTTCCCTTTGGATTTGATCCAGTTATGACCTAATGAGAAGACCGAAAGTATGAAGTTACCCTGTCACAGCCAGGATTAAGGTGAGGCAAGAAGCGTTCAAAATTTAAGGGGTACCAAAACATCCCTCAATAGTCAAGATGAATAATATTTTAATGCAGTATTTTTAAAAATTAAAATTAATGCAAAAAAAAACCCATGATGAGCAAAATAACAAAATCTTAAAACAGAAACAGGATCCCACAGTGATGTGCAACCCATATTGGAGCCTAAGACAAAAGGAAAAAATGTGCACTTAAATACATGTTTTTCTGTCTTTTCAAATGCTTATTTTTTTCCCCTAAAGATCTGACAGGCACTCAGGGAGAGGACTTACTTCTCCCACTGGCTGGGCTCGGAGCACCTGCCATCCTCCATATTTCCTGGGCTGTCATCCCCTGCCACTTCCCACCTTGGAAGTGCCATCAGGTTGCCCGCCCCTTCTGTGTCAGCCCATGCCTCCCTGGGGAAGTGGTCTCAGCCCAGGCTCCATTTTTCTCCCCAACATGGTGTGAAGCACGTAGAGGAGGTTAGGGGAGCAATGCAGGTGAGCAGGATGGAGGAGAGCCCTTTCCTGGGTTGTGGCTTCCTGTTACCACCCTCCATGCCTCTAATAATGGCTGGACCAGGGTAGGAAGAGGGAGCCAGGATGTGGCTATTTGGATCCCCTGGACTAAGGCTAAGGGCAAGGGCTCCATAGCCTTTGTGCCCGAGTGAGAGAAACAGTCCCTCCAAGTCTGCCAATTGTTTTGGAAGCTAGTCTCTAAAGGGCAGGGAAGGATGAGGGAGGGTGTAGCTCAGAGGTTGTCCTAGGTTCAATCCCCAGTACCTCCATTAAAAGAAAAAGAAAAATTAAATAAATAAATAAAGGGCATGGAAGGATTTCACCAAAATAGTATTTGCTTGTCATTAATATTCCTATGGTAGATCAAAAAGCACAAGTTTCTGGAAGAAAAGTTCATGTGTAGCATTAAAAACAAAAAGAGATTTCTCTATTCTGTCAGGAATAGGAATAGGTAATGCCTGAGAAATAAATATACTTACATGTTCTCTTTAGAACCTCAGTGTCACTGTGGTCTATGGCAAATAGTTCTCAGTGCACATGCCCTACCTCTAGGTAATTACATTGTTGCTCCATCGGCTTCAAGGTTCCTATTGGCTGTTCCAGAAAATCCCAAATCCCTCAGACATCCTTTCGTATCTTAACACATGCAAGGGTCTGGGCTCAGGACTGTAAGGGATCGAGACGAACCCAGTGCTGTTCCTGCTTTGATGCAATTACTCTTTAGAAGGTGGGAGATCCACTCCCTGTTTGCTTGGGGAGACAGACATCCACATGGCCCTGGAGTCTCATTTTCTCCCTCATTTTCATAGTTTAGCAACTAGCTGCATCAGCAGAGCTGAGTTTGCTGGGAGGCAGGACAGGCAGTCACCAGATACTGAGCTTCAGCGGCTCCTACTAAATGGTGGCCTAGTTGTGCCCCGCCCCCCATGTGTGAACCGACATAGTTTAGGGCCCCTCTCTATCGAGTACCCTCTGAGATGTGTCCAGTCTCCTTCTGCCCAGCCTAGATGCACCTCCCAGTGGAACAATGAAAACTGTCAGTTGAGATTGGGAGAGAGACGGGAGCGGGTGGTGATGGTGGAAGAGGGGTGAGGGAGTAGCTGGGGTGGGAGGGTAAGGGGGTGGGGGATGGTTCATGTGCATTGTCCTCCTTCTCTGCTTGTAGACCCTGCCCCAATATTTTGTATTTACACTGCATGGCCTGATGGTGTGTGTCCTGGGCCCACGAACTGTAACTGCATGAAGGTCACACTCCACTTTGTCTCATGCTAAGTGTTTGGGAAGTAGTCTTGTCCAATTGGGCCTCCCAGAGGGCAGGAAATGTTCTTCAGGAGAGTCTCAAGGGGGCCTGTCAGGTTGCAGGGCAGGCCTGGGACTGGTCCACACAAGCCTTGGTGTCAGCTCTCCTAGTGATGGTGAGACAGCTGCAACATCTGGGAGCCCAGGAGATGCTGGAGTGGGAGGACCAGGATGGAACCACCAGATACCAGTGCCCCCAAACAGGTGCGTCGTCCAAAAGAAAAACCTGCCAAAAGGCTAATATTGATTGGTCAGAAGGAGGCCTGCCTCTGCAGAGCCCAGGAAAATTTAAGAGTATGCTTTTGCTTTATGGCTGAAAGCAGGGAGAAGGATAAAATTACAGGGTGGTAGGGAGATTAGGGGCTGCCACTGCTGCTCAGAAAGGCAGCCAGCCTGATGGGTTGATACAAAAATTTGGAATGGATTTAGCTGTTCCTGTGAAGCAAAACACAGACAAACCCATGACTAGTGAGAAGCCTAGAATGGATGTAAAAGATGTAAATGCACAATTTCAGCAGACATGCAAACTAGATTCTCAGACTTGGTCTCTTGCTCTTCTCTTAGGCGAGACTTAAAATATTCCTGCATTTACCAAGCAAATGTTGTTTTGTTTTGTCCAGAACATGCTTCTTGTTTTCTTGCAGCCTGTATAATTAATATGAACTTTCTGCATGGATGGTGAGTGGACCTGTTGATTGAACACATAAAGTGTCCCCTACTGGTGGCTTCTAAAATGGTGAATACTGAGGATGTGCCAAGAATGGCCTGTAATCCCAAAGGTTGCACAGATGGTGTCATTGAAACAATGTGTCCTACCAGGGACAGAGAAAATGCAGTGTTCTCATACAAATTATTAAATAGGCCAGGGTGTCAGATAACACCATCCGCCAATTCTGTAGCCTTTAGGGCTGGGGAAGCCACTAGTGTTTGGAGTCTTACTGTGTCCTTTTGAGGCTTAAACAGG